ACAAACAGAATATGTTTAGTCTGTGCAGAACTTGATGCTCATTAAGTTTGCATACTTCACTTGTTTTAGAGATGTGCATGCACTGCATATTTGTCACCAAGACTGTTGATCTTTTGCAGTGTATCAGTATAGTATAACATCAAACTCTGCTTCTAGATTTATTATGTTATTGGATGCACTGAACCCTAAGGGAAGAAAGAAGGAAGTTATGTATCTAGGGAAGTGCATTTATGGTAAGTGCATCTGGGGCTTTGGTTTGCACAAGGAGCCTGCACAGTTGCATTATGAAAGACACAAACCCCTTGTGATACTGTGGTACACAGGGATGCTGACCTCTCCATCATTTTCTAAAACAACCTGTTTATGTTGTCAATTCAAAGAAATGATGGAAAAAATAAATTTAAATCCTGACTGAATGTATGTATTAGAGATTTTCCTTTTCAAAGTGCAACTCCATCTTCCCTTCTGTTTTGACTTCTGCTGTTGTCAGTGCCAAATTCTATATTTTCTAGATTATATTTTTACTATCCAGAAATTTGAGTGGCAGATAATTAACATATAGAAGGATGATGTAAGGCAGATTAACCCTGCATTGTCTCCTTTACAGAGATAATCTTTCAGTTGTCCTTTCAGCACTATCTTTAGGGGTCCTAAGAGGAGGACCACAGGAGGGACATAGGTTCTTAATCTAGAAGTATGGGTATGTGGCACCTATAGAGACACAGTGTTATTACATCCATAGTTCCATTGTACTTGCTCATAAAGTGTAACATGCTCCTGCAAGGACTTGGCCATTGCTTGATATGACAATGTACATCTGAAACATTGAAATCCAAAATCAGCAGATGAGAGGTTAATCTAAAACCATATAACATACATTTATGTAAATGGTACCAAATTTTGCTTTTTAACAATGTGTGATACATATTAGGAAATCTTTTTTCTTTTTTTTTTTTTTTTTTTTGACGATTTGTATTAAGGTCATATTCCACTTCATTACTGAGTATACAGTTAGCCTTTCAGGGGAAATAGCTGCTTGCAAGCCAATACGTTATTAGTATTACTATTTAATATAAATATTTAATGTTTAATATGATTGTTATTGTTCTTTAATTATAGTTAATTAATTTCTCCTGGGATCATTTTAGTAGGGTAGTTTTGTTGTTTTAATTTGTTGAGGAGGTTTGTTTGTTTTTTTGTTTATTTTGAAAGATTATTTTTCAATCCCAAGGATTCTGGGGAAATATGAGGAAATACTGCTTTGGAGAACGGTAGTCTTGCAACTGATCTATCTCTATGGCAAGGAAAATCCACTTGAGTACGAAGATTTTAGTTAGAGTGGTGTACGTCTAGTTAAAAGGTAGCTCATTTCTCATTCCTTTGTCATAAAGTATTAATAGAGGTGCTAATGAACTATGTATACACTCCTTTAAGTAGTGTTTCAGTTGCATATTAATGTGCTTTCTTGTACAACACTAGTAAATGAGAGTTACAATTAAATAATGTTCCTTTTTTTGGAATATATTGAGAAATGGGTGTAAAAATAACAAAATATAAGATGAACTGTAAAAATAAAAAAATTTTTGAATGACTGATTTGTCTCTATTTACTTCAGTTAGCTGTTGAATTTCTTGCCACCACTCATTGTGCAGGCAATGCTGCATGTGTCTGCATGTTGATATGGATTAGGGAACTGAAATAACTGTCAATTTATGTCTTAAGGTTTCCACTGCCATGAATTTCTCTTGTTACCTTTATTAGGAAAGTAGAATGCAACTCTCTTGATCTTTATAGATCGGACAAGTTTCAGTAATAAATTGTGCATGTATGACCTTTCAGATTTTTAACATGAGTTTTGAAAGATTTTACAAATTAAGTAATTCTTAAAGTGATTGTAGAAACTGGCTCACATTAGTTTGCATATTTTCTGCCAATCGACACTGCTATTTTCCTAATTACTGAATCATTTGTGTTGGAAGTTTATAAAAAATACACAATTGTAAATGGCAAATAACATTTTTCTTATTTTAATCTCAGACGCACAAATGCATTCTGAATGTGATAGAAGTCAATCCATACATGTTTTCTCTGTAATTTTGTTGGAAAACTATCTTAAGGCAGAATAGCTTTTATTAAAATTGCATCAAACACATAAAATCACTCGATTGAATAAACACTTCAGTTAACAGTTACTTAATTTTATTCTGGTCTTTGAGTATGGCGGTGACAGAGCCTTTGTCAGTTTTCAAATTAATTTGATTTCTTTTTAGATAGGAATGTCATTGTAAATCATTCAGAAGATTAAATTAATAACAGACCCCCTAACTACTTCTTTCTGTAGCACTGACATGTTCTAATTGCTTATAGCATAGTAATTCTTGATGGTATAAGGCTGATGGGCAGAAAACGGACTTCAGAAAAAAAAAATGTTCAGCTATAGAGAATTCCTTGTAAAGTTTTCAGGGGTATAAAATCTTTCTTTACAGTTTGACGTTTAGATTGACATATTATAGCTTCTTTTCTAGATGTGCCACTCAGAAATATTCTCAAAGTTTTAGGAGGTTATCTTATGAAGTAGCTGAGATCTTAAAACATATTAAAAATTGAATTTGCCAGTACTCCAAAGATGTTAATCTCTTCTTATATCAGAATCCATCATGGAAAATAGATGAGAACCTTGGATCTTTTTGAAATTTGGCAGTGCATTCAGCACACACTACCAGCAGATAATAACTCCATTTCTTATGGAAGCTTGCATTACTTTTTAAAGGATCTTGTTAATTGCTTGAAACTTTGCCAAGCTGTAACAGGTTGGGCTGGAATTTTGCATTTAAAGAAAATAAAAGGGCAATATGGATTCCTCATTTCCTATATGCTAAATGAAGCAAGGGCCGGTGGGAAAACTAGTATGCAATCAAATAAATAAGCATTCTGCCATAAAGCATATGACTGGGGAGAGGAGTTGAGGGGAGCATATAGCTTGACTTCTGACTTCTTCCATCCTTTCAACACTTGACTTCATGACTTTGTTTTGTGCATAACAAGTTATAGTGTTACATCACTTATTTGTGGGTGCTGACATAGTGAAAAAATGCATGTGTTATTTATATCCCTGAATTTGATCATGGGTTTTAGGGGATATTTGTGTTCTTTTGGGGTTTCTTTCCTGTTTGGATTTTTTTTTTTTTTTTTATTTTGGCTTGGGTTTTTTTGAAATTGTTCTTTTAGTTCAGTCATAACCAGCAATAGAATGACTTGAGTACTTCCGGGACTGAAACATCAGCTGCCTCTATGTATGTAATCAGATAGCCAAGACCAGTACATGATTACAGAAATCTCTGTAGATCTTTGAATTAGAAATCCTGATATGATAGATTTACAGGCTTGCACCCCTTTTTGGAAAAACTCTATTTGTTCATAAAAACCAGGTTGGCTTCCCCCAGCCTTGGCTCAGTGTGACTTCTGACTCTATGTCACACTCCTTTTATCTGCAGGTTGTGGTTTGGTCATTTTGCATGCAGTGCACCCTAACTCTGGAAACTCAAACTTAAGTGCCACATTTTGCATGGGATCCCTATCTTCTGGTGACAAAGATAGCAAAAAAAAAAAAAAAAAATTAAAAATTCTAACTGGACTTAGTCCACTTTTCTTTCATCACAAAAGTCTTCCATAGCCCCTGTAAATATTCAAGATAAAGTAGCTCCCTTGGTAAGACTTTTACTTCTCTGAGGAGGTAAGTGGTACCTTTTTCTCTGAGTTTGGTGGTGTGGTAGTTGGCTTCAAGGTTGAATAAAGAATATTGGTCCTTCTCTCTCTCCCTGATGCCCTCACAGCTATTAATTTCTGTGTAATGCAGAACTGGGGGCAGTGACTCACGAGGAGACAGCCCTAGCTGACCTCTACTTGGTTCAGCTACAGTCCTCTCTTAATCCTCCAGTGGTGGCACTGGGTAAACTGTGACTTCATAATTTTGGGAACATACTTAGCTACTTATTGGAATTAATCATCTGGTGAGATGTTGAATTAATCCTGACTCTCCTGTAGTCATTTTCAGTCTGTCACTGTCTTGGACAAGGGCACATTCATATCTAGAGCCCTTGCGAAAAGCTGTGTAAACACAGGGTATTAGTCTGAAAGCTGCTGCTCTTCACCATTGCATACTTGTTTGAGATCACTCATTTCCAACCTTTGAAAATTTTGGTTGTTTGCTTCTTGGAGAAAGAGCCTGTCTTTCTCTGTATGTTAAGTTATTTCTCAGAAACTTCGACTACAATTATTTGTATCACATTATATGGCTTTCTGACATCCTATTCATCTGTTGTTCTTCAACAGATGCCTCCCTCAGCCTCTCAACAGTAAAGGATTTCACTTTGAAGAATGTCTAATTTTGGTCATTTCATATGTGACTTCTTGAGACTAGCAATTTTAAAATTATCGATACTATATTATAATTTAACCTAGTTGTGGCAGATGACCTAATTTAATTACATTCAGAGATTAGGTTTTTTAATGTCTTGCCCCTCACTCCAATATAGTTTCAGGACTGTTTTCTTAACCATTCCTAGTTTTTTAAAAATGTAGGTTCTTAATGTGTTAGGCTTAAATGCAAACACTTTCTGTATTCTCCCTACCATTCCATGCTGTGCCATGTAGACCGATGGAAAAGAAGTAACTTTTCTACAGTAGATGTGATAAAATTTCTGTTCTTTTGAGAATTTTAACTGGAACTTAGCAGCTGGAGCACTCTCTTGCAATTCTGTTCCAACATGACTTTCATCTCAAGCATGCTCTTTCAGCCCTAGTAAGGCCATAACTCAATCTCCTCACACAGGTCTCTGTAAGGCTTTTTTCTGTGTTTGTCATTGCAGGTGTTCAAAGCACTTCACCCTTTTTCAAGATCTCTGCCCATTTAATGTATAGAAAATTATAAAGGAGATAATAAATTATAGAAGCCTTGAGAAATTTGGGGCATTCTCACTAGCATTTGTTTCACCCTGTAGGAGAAGCCTATATGAGAATGAGCCGGCTGCCAGAGGCAGAGCACTGGTACGTGGAGTCACTGCGGTCTAAGAGCGACCACATCCCAGCCCATCTCACCTATGGAAAACTGCTGGCTCTGACGGTGAGTTAATCAGCAGCTCCTGGGAGCTGGTCCCAGGCCCTTCAAGTTGGTGAGGTAAAGGGATGGGAAGACTTTGGCCTGAAAATTCCTTATTACCCTGATTGTCACACGATTTCAGTCATGCCTTCTAATTAAGGATTTTGACAGCGTCATTTTTTGGTGAAACTTTGCATGCATTCCTGAAATACTGCCACTGCTGTGCCAGAAGAAAACACCTGTTGTAGCATAGGAACTTTATAACAGTAAAAACTTCTCTGGTTGAAAAAGCCTTTATTATAAATAGTTTAGATCACAAGTAATCATATTAATACAAAAAAAAAAATATCCAGTGGTTGACCCAAGGTTGTTGTAGCAGCCTATGGCAGAGCTAGGTGTCACCTATACTTTGTGAATTACATGTCTCCTGCTTTGAATTTACACTTCTTTAGGAGTATCTCTATGAGCATGTGAAAAGCACTACTCTGCAAAGAGATATCTCTAAAGACCAAGAAGAGTTGCTCTGTTTCATTTCTTCAAAATTTACTTTGCCTTTTGAGTATAGATGAGCTTGTAGCTCCAGCTAAACTAGCCCCATATGATAATTATAGCAGAGCACCTATCCTTCCTTGGTTTTCATATGTTTTGAAGATGAAAATGGATTTCTATTTTATTCACTAAAATAATTCTGCTTTAAAACTGCCTTTCACTTTTTTTCCATTTCTTATTGCCATTTTTCTTACCATATCCTCTTTCCTGTTTCTCTCTTCTATATTTGCTTTCATTGTTCTCCCCAGTGGTTTCGTATTTCCTTTCTGTGCTATACTGGTATGCTTTTGTAAGGCTCTTCAATCTTTGTGCCTCAGTCAGAATATCTTCCTCAACTTTTCACCTAGCTATAAGCTTTTACTCTGACCTTCCTTATGCCCTGTCCAGTGTTCAAGCAAAAAATGTCCTTGGACACAGGATAGAGGTTCAGTGAAGAAAATTAGCTAATAGTTAATTTCAACAGATCCATTGCTGCTAAAAGGATCTGAATTTGGAAAAGGGGGAGAAATTAGAACAGAAGTTTTCTATATGAGTAACAAATGACAGCACAGAAAGAATTAAAATTTGTTCAGTGTTATTATGTAATGTCAGATACAGAGTTTGATTAAAAACTACCTGGATGGGAATTTTTAGCTTGTAATGAAAGCCAAGATGGTAGTGTTACATCCCCACTGCCTTTCTGTTCCAGGCCCTGGAAAGGAAGGGTTTTTGCTACAATTTCCTGTTACAGTTAAAATTTCTTGGATATTGACAAATACATGCACTCACTGATTATCTTCCTCTGGGATAGAATTGCAAGTAGGTTATACATCAAAATTTCCTAATTTACCTTGCATTTTTGGCAGATATCTTCATATCTTGCACCTAAGAATAATAGGAGAAAGTCAGAATCATTGGTTTCTTCTTAGCAGATCTTGTGCACGAAAGTTCTAATTTATTAGAATTGCTGTGGGAAAAGAGAGAGTTTTCTTGATTAAAATCCAAACTCTGGTTAACTTTGTCCATTTTCTGAACTGCTGAGTAAATGAAATTTGAGGTCTGTTAGGGAAAGTCTTGCAGTTATACCGGGAAACAAGGTCTCCCAGTTTTCTTCAAAATACCAAAATCCACAAGACCCATAACTCTGTACAAACATTGTGAGCCACTACATAGAAATTTTTGATTTTGTCCTCTCACTATGAAAGTTCAGGTATAGGATTAAACATTAGTGGCATAGCCCAACTTTGGGAAGGAAGTGATGAAAAATGTATGCGAATCCTTATTATAGAATTGGACTGTTTACTTTTCTTCAGGAATATAAACACAACATATATGTGGGGTCGACTGTGCCTTGATGAATTATGTTTGTGGAAGAATATGTCTCATTAGCAAAAAGGACAGGAGCTGTATACGGCTTTGAACACTGAATACTGCACTGTGATAGGCAATAAAATTCTCTGCCTATGCTTTCTCAGCACACACTTGGTTACTTATAGTTGTTCTGTGCCATATTGTAATCTATTCTCATCACTTCTGTTTGTTATCATCTCTTGACACTTTTTGCTTTTATTACAGTTCCTTCTTCTCATATTCATAACAATAGGTACACATGTGGTTCACATCCGTTCTAACAGCAACATAAATTGAAAAGATGGTGCCGATGTCCTGTTGGCTTGTAGTGACATGGGAATTCATAAACACATAACAAGGCAACATGTTGATGACAAAGTAATTAGAGAAAAATTTTCAGGTGGTTATTTCATACATGAAAAAAAAAATAAATTCATTTATCTCTAATCTATTGAAACAGCGTTTATTTCAGTTAATTCTTTGAGCTACAAAGTCTGAAAAGACATTCAACAGGTAAATGGATGAAGAAGAGATTTGGCAGTAGAATATGGATTTTTGTATCCATGTTGGCCACTTATCCTTAATCAGTTTTACAGCCTACAAACTGCTCAGTGATTCATATTAAGTGAATTTTGTCTAGTTTGTAGTATACCAATTTGTACCAGTATTAGTTCCCATTGCAAATGTATGATTGCTGTAACTGACATGCTTCCTGGAAGTCTGCATAGACTTCCTTGGGATTCAATAGCATTAAAGCTGCTCCCTTTGTCATAGTTGTTTCAGCCACTGTGATTTGTTCTGTTAAACTTTGCTACCTAGGCTCATGATCATTTTTTTACAGCCTGTATATTTAGGAGAGAAGAAAGCCTACTTAGTTTTTGGATGTTAGAAGTGAAACATTTTAGAGGCTTCTTTCCACTCACCTGTTGGAACCAAACGTTCACACTTTCTGCAATCCTCTTTCTGAATAGAAGTGCTGAGACAAAACTACTGATAACAATGTTATGTGTCTCTTTTCCATGAGAGAAATGTGAGATGGTTGATGAAGTAAAGGATGGAAGTGGGTGTTAATATAGATAGAAAATTTTTCTCTGTCAATTAAATTGGGGGGTTGAGGGAGGAGAGAGGAGAAAGGTTTCAGTCAAGTTCCGAAGTTCCAGCCAAAGGCAATTCTAGTATAAAACCCCCTAGCAGTAAAGTCAAATCTGTAAAGTTCACAGATTTGGCTGTTTTACTTCCTGACTTAAATTACAATGAAGTGGCTTAATTTTAACCCCACCTTTTCTGCCTCCTCAAGTTTGTTGCCAGTATTAATGCTTACTAAAAGCAGCATGACATAGAATCATAGAATCATTTAGGTTGGAAAAGACCCTTAAGATCCCCAAGTCCAACCGTAAGCCTAACATTGCCAAGTCCACCACTAAACTGTGTCCCTAAGTCACACATTTACATGTCTTTTAAATACCACCAGGGATGGTGACTCAACCACTTCCCTGGGCAGCCTGTTCCAATGCCTGACAACACTTTCAGTGAAGAAAATATCCAATTTAAACCTCCCCTGGTGCAACTTCAGGCCATTTTGTGTTATCCTATCACATGTTACTTGGGAGGAGAAACTGGCATCCACCTTACTACAACCTCCTTTCAGGTAAATGTAGAGAGCAATGGTCTCCCCTCAGCCTCCTTTTCTCCTGACTAAACAGCCCCTGTTTCCTCAGCTGCTCCTCATAAGACTTGTGCTCTAGAATCTTCACCAGCTTTGTTGCCCTCCTTTGGACATGCTCCAGCACCTCAATTACTTTCTTGGAGCAAGGGGCCCAAAACTGAACACAGTATTTGAGGTGAGGCCTCACTAGTGCCAAGTACAGGATGATGGTCACTTCCCTAGTCCTGCTGGACACACTATGTCTGATACAAGCCAGGATGCTATTGGCCTTCTTGGCCACCTGGGCACACTGGCGACTCACATTCAGCTGGCTGTTGACCAACACTCCCAGGTCCTTTTCTGCTGGGCAGCTTTCCAGCCACTCTTCCCCAAGACTGTAACAGCACTTAGATGTAGCTGCAGTCTCTTCCCAGACTCTTCCTAAGAAAGATTTCTGGAGATGCTTTTCCTCAGCACGGTATCTATTCTGTGTGGTAACATAAATTTTTGTGATCAACATAAACTTCCCTCTGATCTGTGCAAATGTTGTTGGGCTGGATCGTGAGCTCTGAAAGAAGTCTGTAAACTTAAAATAAAGGCACCATGTACCAGTTGATTTTATTAGCTTAGCAATGAAAAATATGTTTTGTTTTGGTTTTTTATTATTTCCAACTTGAACAATAACCTACATGAGCAATCTGATCTAAATGAAATGTTGACTCTACTTTGAGAAGCGGATTGGACAGGATGATATCTCAAGGTCTCTACAAACATGATTCATTCTCTGATTCTATTTACTTTTCTTTATTTTCACCCTGCGGCTACTTCCAGTTTAATAAAATGCAGTGTTTTGAATCAAAGTTGAGGTACAGGCATGTATTTAACACTTATTATTCTCTCGTACTGAAAAGAGGTTTAGAGGAGGATTAGCTTCTATCAGAATGGGTTACCTTTTGTAAGGTCATGAGTGACATGTAGAACTGTACACAATTAATCTACTGTGATAAACTTATTATAAGTATAATCATGCTGTTAATGACAGATTCTAATTCATGTCATCATCTCACGTTGATTTTACCAGTTTCCCATTTTCACATAGCTAGTGTCTCTACTGTTCTAAAGGGCGATTTAAATTTTAAATTTGCATTTTGTGAGAGATTAAATGAACAATAGTAGGCAAAAGCATAATCTGTGCTATTTAATTTTACTTGTGCTAATTCTTCTGTCTTTGTATATAGAATAGAATAGAATAGAATAGAATAGAATAGAATAGAATAGAATAGAATAGAATAGAATAGAATAGAATAGAATAGAATAGAATAATTTCAGTTGGAAGGGTTCTACAATAACCATCTAGTCCAACTGTCTGACCAATTCCGAGCTGACCAAAAGTTAAAGCATGTTATTAAGGGCATTGTCCAAAGGCCTCTGAAACAATGACAGGGTTGGGGCATTGCCCACCTCTCTAGGAAGCCTGTTCCAGTGTTTGACCACCCTCTTA